TAAGGGACATGACATTTCCCGACCAGGCGCCGAGTGCTCCAATCACAACACACACTGGCCCAGCTAACCAATCACAGCACATTTCGTATTTCAGAAGGCGGGCTTTCATTTGATACAGGAACTATTCGAGCCGTTCATGCCAGACAAGGGAGAGAGGTGTTGTAATAATGTAAAATATGTGAAAAATAATGTGTTTTTTGAACAACCTAGTATGAGATCCTGTTCTAGTACACCCCCAAAACAAAATCAAGACTTTGTAAAAGAGCATAATAGGACCCCTTTAAAATTCTAATATTTCCAGAATGTTGGAACCCTGGCAGTTGCACCTACAATTCTGAAATGCGTCACCAAGCTGCTTAATGGCGCAATGTGAAAGCAGTAACCTGTTAATATGGAGGCTAAAGCAAATATGTGCTGCTTTCATGTATGAAGTGAAACAAGATGATATGGTCTAATGGCACTAGAATCACTCATGTTGCATGGCAAGGTTTTGGAGAATTAGCAGAACTCCTGGACCAGCATTTAAGAGAATATTGCCTGAGTGAGTATCTGGGACAGGAATGATGGGGTATGACATACCAGGAGTGTCATAGTCCTTCTGATGATAATGTGCACTTATAAACAGAGATGGGTTAATAATACACTACTAACAGCACATTACAAATAGCAAATAATTAACTATGCTATATCTCATCTATAGCAGGTTATTTCAAAGATGCCTGATTAGACAGAGATAGAGTATATCGTCAGTGTGTGTTGTGGGTTTACCTTCTGAGATGGCATGAGGTTTAATGATAGAGCAGGTGCAGTCTGAGTACATGGCTGTGTTGGAGGGACCGTGACCAGTAGTAGAAGGGAAGAAGAACTCCAGCTCCTATATAGTTGTAATTAAAAACACATCACCAGTCATTTCCTTTGCCTTTATTAGCATATTACTGGGAAAAATCTGATCAACAGAAGATTGTGGGCTCGATTAATTGCTATTGACAGTTGCTTTTTTGTTACCCGTGCAGCAGATGCCAACGAGTCGGACCCATGTCCTGCATTCTTAGTGCCATCGGTACCAAACTGGCCTCTAAGACTATTCGCTGCATCTTTTTGTGCCACACCAGAATCAGTCGGGCCTAGAACTTTTCTCCAGGTAGACACTGCCTCATCCCCCATCAGCTCCATAGCAATCACGGGACCGGAGCTCACAAACTGCACCAAATTACTGTTGTTGAAGAAGACAACTGGCTTTAGCAACATTTTGCTGTGGTGTTTATAATTGAATTTGCGGTTAAAAACACGCAGTGTCATGAAAAGTCATGCCAAAGTCACTGTGACAATCTCAGTGTTGGTTCAGGTGTCAAGATTCTCCTTCAAAAGCAGCCCTTACATACAAGTCAATCATTGACTCAGGAAAGACTCACTTGAAAAAAGACTTTGACTGATGTTCCGTGTAAAAGTCCGCTGCCTGCTTCCTGTAAGAAAGCCATAAAAGTACACAGGGTTAATAAGTGATCTCCAAACCCCACCATCTCTCGGCTGACACCTATAGTGAAATACGAATACGAAATTGAGGAACTAAAATTTTCCTCTTCATACCATACCATATAATTTTTTTAATTGATGACGTGTCAACTAGTCCAAGAAATGAGATTATATGCTTAACACAACTTCCACATCTTCATTCCCTGACAAGGACTGTCTCTGTCAATGAACAGCTGTTTGGTACTTTGAGGAAAGGTTAAAGCCGCAAAACCTGACCAGGCTAAAACAACACAGTCTATCAGAGAAACTCTCCATGTCAGCATATTTCAAGAGGAAAAGGAAAGATTAACCCTCAGCATTTTCCATTCTTTAAGAAATGTGGCACTAAACCACATGTAAAGTGACATATAGAAAAAAAAGTAATCTTCAAATTCACTGTAGCCATTTTGCATCATATTTTCTGCCAACTACATAAACGCCAATTTCCTGTGAAATGTCTACAAATATACGAAGACATCCAAAAGGCCTCAAAATGTTATTTCTCTTCATACAATAAGGATCTCCAGGTTTAAAAAAAAAAAAACATAAGCTATTATGATTGATACAAGATTAACTGACTTTCTTTTTTTTTTTTTGCAAAGTTGCAGCTTGGGCCAGTGTTGTTACTGTTAACTAAAACTAAAACTAAAAGCATTAAACTATTAAAAACTATAAAAAATGTTTTCGGGAATTGTAATGAAGCTGAAATAAAATACATAATATAAATACTGAAACTTAAATAAAAATACATTTAAGCTATATAAAATACAAAAACTAATAAAAATGAAAAAAGCACATAACAAATTTACTAAATAAATTTTTCTTTATGAAAACTAATTTTCAGTTTAAAAATTAAATAAATACTATTCGATAGTACTATATAAATAATACTAAAATAACACTGGCTTGGGCTTTCTTTTTCCATATTATTACATTTAAATATTTGTTATGATGTTTACATAGTAAATGCATTAAAATAATAACTACTAATGTACAGATATTGTATTTTAAAGCTCCAAGGTCACCAAGCCATTTAAAGCCATTTTACTCTGAAATCACCTGAAAATGTCCTCAGATTTACTCTTAACAACTCTAATCTGGAGGTCAAATCCTGTGGAGCAATCTGGGCTGATTTGCCCAAGGGCACAATTTTACTTGAGGAAAATTGTGACTTCAGTAACTCCCCAGTTCTTGGTCACTTCTCCCTGCGACTGAACACACTGTCTTTGTGTTAGCAGCCAAGATCTTTAACTTTTAGTCTACCAGCGCCCATATTACCACAATTTTTATAAACCATAGACTGACCTTTACAAAACAGGCCAAAGAAATAATGTCTGCAACAGCAACTTTAAACACTGCCTCTTCTCTCTAATGCTCTCCCTTTCTCACTACCTCAGTTAATAATTGCTGCATTGTGCTGTGAATATAATCCATTCCTGGTACTGTGCAAAGGCAGCTACTAATGAGAAGCTCTGATCTTTGCAAGAATTACAGTGTAAAGTGTTTCAGAATACAGAACAGAGTGTGCAACATTTTTATGTTTCATTCCTGACTTAATCTGTGTGTGCAAAAATGGTCAGGGGCTCCGAGAAGAACAAGTGTATGCCAGTGATATACAGGTTAATGCATAGAGCAAGCAGTGCATGATTTTTGCTGTGATATACTTTTTTTCCCTGAAGAAGTGACTTTGTCATATCCACCCATCACAAATTCTGAGAAATCATTCTTGGGTTACTGAAATACCTCATTAGCATAATTAGGCATAAACTGCCTTAAGCAAGAATTCCAGAGGCCTCCTTTTCTTTGTACCAACTGAAAAATTGCTGAAGGCCTGATCCCAATATCATTATTTCTTAACAAGTCTGTTTCTTAAAACATAAATGGCTTACCATGTAAGTTTGGTCATTTTGGCTTTGGTGACAATAAGGTTGGCATCATAAATCATCTGAATAATGTCGCCAACTTTTGTGACAGCGTCCGGCTTAATCATAGCCAAAGTCCTGAAGAAGACACAAGACATGAACATAAAAAGCAAATCCGAAAGTAAAAAAAAAAAAAAAGTGCCAGGGATGAACCAACATGGATATAAATTGTAACCTATATAATCTAAAATGGGATTTGTTTAGAGTAAATTGTTTTAGTGAGTGAGTGTGTGTGCATGTATTTAATAGCAATATGTACATAATATTTAATAGCATTTTATAGCATGAAGAATTTTTTGAGATATTTATAAAATGCAAGACAAAGATGCCAAACTTTTTGCCCAGTACATTAAACACAGGCACACATATAAGGCTATCTGAGACAAAGACAACACATACATATTGTAGCCATTCAGCACCATGAATATTTAGCTCTTGCTATTATTTTCATTATAGAAACAATGATAACAGAAAATGCCAATTACTTACACAAATCGACAACTGCTGCTGTCAGAGACTTTACAAAGGCTGGTTGATAAACATTACTATTAATTAAAAGAAACATATTAATGTTAAAAGTGCCAGGGATGAACCAACATGGATATAAATTGTAACCTATATAATCTAAAATGGGATTTGTTTAGAGTAAATTGTTTTAGTGAGTGAGTGTGTGTGCATGTATTTAATAGCAATATGTACATAATATTTAATAGCATTTTATAGCATGAAGAATTTTTTGAGATATTTATAAAATGCAAGACAAAGATGCCAAACTTTTTGCCCAGTACATTAAACACAGGCACACATATAAGGCTATCTGAGACAAAGACAACACATACATATTGTAGCCATTCAGCACCATGAATATTTAGCTCTTGCTATTATTTTCATTATAGAAACAATGATAACAGAAAATGCCAATTACTTACACAAATCGACAACTGCTGCTGTCAGAGACTTTACAAAGGCTGGTTGATAAACATTACTATTAATTAAAAGAAACATATTAATGTTAAAAAAAAAACATATTCATGTTTAATTAAAACATATTAATTAAAAGAGTTATCATCAATTTAATCTGAAAGTCTAGCTACATTTTAATACAAATTCTAAAGCATTTCTTTAAAAAGGAATTCTTTAATCTTTGAAATTATATTTTAAATTGACCCTAAGCATTAGATAATGCTGCTGTTACAGTACTAGATATGATGCTCTGACTAAACAACAGCAGTCATTTGAGTAGCCAGTTCAAATTTACTTTGAAGAGTGCATATTGCCTTGAGTCTGTCCCTCTGTAATCTTTCCCAAATTTATATTCATGGCACGTCACCATGAATTTCAAAGGAGAGAAAGAGCAGTTGGAAATAGTGTGAATGTGATTGATGTAAGAGATGAAAAGGAAGCATTATCAGTAAATGATGACATAAATGTAGGTCTTTTGTTACCCAAAACTATTGCATGGCTTCAGAAGATTTGGATATAGTGCATAAGTCAAATTGATTACTTTTGTTTTAACAATTTATTTGTGTGCGTGTGTGAACTTTTCTTTTAAAGGGATAAAGGGATTTACTTCACCTGATGATCTAAACCTGCATGGCTTTCTTTCTTTTGAGAAACATAAAAGATGTGTCTCACTGTTTTTTTTTTTTTGGGCCATAAAACAGAAATCAATGAGACTTCCTTCAAAGTATCTTTTTTGTGTTCTGCAGAAGAAAGTCATACAGGTTTGGAAAGACAAGTTCTGCCTCAGCAGTGGCCTTCAGGAAAAAGTACCTCTCCTTCTTACTGCCCAGTTTGTTGGCTGTGTACTGATCCCCGTAACCTATGAGGTTCAGCTGACGGGAAAAGACGTTTACTCGGTTGCCAACAAACAGATCCTCTGGATGAATCTCATCAAACTTGGTCCTCCGTAGAAAGGTGCGCTGGTTCTTCATATCAAACTATATGAAGAGAAGCATGCGTGTGAATGGACAAATCTCAAACATAGCTGGAAGTCAGGGTCTGAAATCTGAGTATAGGAACGCACCATCTCCACAGAGCCATCTTTAGGGTAGTAGAGCAGCTGGTATCGTCGCAGGAGAGCAGCACTGGGGTCGTACCACTCAGCCAGAAAGGCAAAGCGCTCATCCTGTGCATAACACAACACACAATCAAGCCAGGCACGGCAGGGGAATGTCACGATCTGACCCTCATGCTTGGACAGGGAGTCACAACAGCCGCGCTTTGACCCTCAGGACAGACGGACAGCTGGGCCTGTTAACAAGCTGAGTCAGAGGTTCAGATCTTGAATCAGCCCTTTGGTCCCCTGGGGAGCTCTGCTGCAAATGGGGAGCCATTCTCCAGCTGCTGGAGCTACTGCTCCTGAAACAGTGCACTACACACTCATGCAAACATTAGGGCTGCACAAATATAGAAACTATCAATAGACTTCAGATAATACATTTTAAATTCATAGAGTCGTCATTAGAGGGGCAACCCGGAAATGTTATGTGTGGCCCTATGATGAGGAGGTGCCTTTATGCTATAGCCTACTCACGGGGCCTGGGGGAGATAAAATTCCAAGAGTTTTTAGAATGTCCCTTTATATTTTTACTACTACAGGGCTCCAGACTAACATTTGAGAGCAGTGGCACCAGCGCCATTAAGTTCTACAGATGGTGGCGCCAAGAGCAGATTTGGTAGCGCTGGGGGTGGTGTGCGGGAGTATTAAAATATAGATCATTTAATCATAAAATTACTATTGTTTTGCATTAATAAGTGCAGTTACTAATAATATTACATGTTCATTTCTTGTTTATTTTTCTTTTGTTTATTGTTTATACAGATTTGACAGTAAAGCACTAAGCTTGAGTTAAGATGCATACAAAATTTACTTTCATTAACAACAGTAATAGGTGCAAAATCTATTATTATTTTGATATATATTCCACTCTTATTAAATGTACCATTATTCTTCTAGTATATGGAACTGACCAACTTCAGTGATTATGTGTGATTTAGTAGCAAATTGAAGAAAAGTTTGTTTTTCAAGGCACTTTGTGACTTTTCTTTCTTCATACAAAGTGTAAAATTCTGACAAAATCTGATTTCTTGATGATTTGATATTTTATAATAGTGATTTTATCATTTCAAAATATAGAGAAAAAGTAAAAATAAATGACTAATAAGCCAATAAATGCTCCTCTGCTGCCGTCTACTGGTTATAATTGTGATTTGATGTATTTTTTTATTTTATTTTACATAAGCGTTTACCACAAAGTATATTTTGGTCATCCCATTAAAAATAACATTCAAACTGGATCATTTTAGAGCTTTAAAGTGCTGGAAATAGTTGTGTTAAATGCTTGAAAGTCATTGAAAAGTGCTTGAATTTCTCTCTCAAAAGGTTGTACAAACCCTGAAATGAATAATGTAATGCATTCGACTATTTCTACCACAACACCATGGTTACAGTTAGCGTTACCGCTTCTGGTTTCCTGACGTATGTCAGCGCAGTTTATAACAGAGAATTCTGTGCAGAATTTGAATGATTCTCACAAGATCTCGCAGCAACCTTATCATTGTGCGGCGAATTCAAACGCTTTTCACAGGATCTCGCAGCACTGTTGCATCTGTGCAGTAACAGTGTCGTGAAATCAACTTTGGCTCTCGAGTAAAGCTGTTCTGAGCTTGGACAAGTTTGTTTGCTTCGCGGTCCGAGCTGATAAACGGTCCGCATTGTTCTCAGATGCAACAGAAATGGCAGCGCTTATGAGTTGGACAACGAGGTGGTCACAAAAATTAGTCGCACTGGCAGAAAAAATTTGGTCGCAGTCTGGAGCCCTGTACTAAAAAAATAATTTAAAAAACTAAACAAAATAACCAAATACCCTAACACAATGTCCTAATCCTACACAAAGTGAAAAAGTTAGTAGCCCCTCACTGCAGAAAAAAGATCCAGGGGGCGGGGTTGGATCCACATCTAGGGGGTGGAGATGGTAGGTTTAGGGGTGGAGATGGGTGGGTTTAGGAGTGGAGATGGATGGGTTTAGGGATCAGGGGGTGGGAGACGGGTAGGTTTAGGTATATGTAAGGTGGGAGTTGGATCTGGATCCAACCTCACCCCCTGGATCTTGTGTTCTGCAGTGAGGACCATCTCGAAAAAGTGACAAGCAATAAAAGCTCTCTTTAATAGTAATGGAACAATTAGTGGAGTTTTTTTTATATCCAGTAACGTTTGCAAAACGTAATTGTGGCATCTGTAATTGCGATTAGAAATTTGATTAATTGTGCAGCCCTAATATATATATATAGCATAATGTGTGGATAATTGTTTAGACAAAAATATTGCTTTGAATACAAATGCATGTGATAAATATTTAATAAAATATTCACTGACAGAGGCACTGTAAATCTTTAAAAAAAAAAAAAAATTAATTGCTCTAAAGTAGGACCCTCAGGATATCGCCACTTTCATAAAAATAAGTATTAGGCCTAGTCATAGCCAAGATTCCATAAGTATTTTATACAGACTACATCAAAATCTATGTGAGTTTTACTGTTGTTTCACTATAAAGTGGCTGATTTCACCTTGACACCAACTCAGAGGTGCCCTTGAACAAAACATGGAGTGAGCATGTTGGTGTGATCTCTGTTCCATGCAGATTGCCACCTTGTGGGTGAAATTCATAGCACAGGCTGTGATTCAGGGGCATATAACTGAGCCCATGAAATTATCTGAGAAGTTATCTGCTAATTGTCTGTTGATTAGTGGACATCCAAAGTCAAGCAAATATACTCATAAGACTTATGCATATTCATAATAACTGACATAATAACTGGCAGATAATCATCATCAGTAGGCAGTGCTTTAATCATGTTGCATTTCTAGCCACTATGCCATCCATCCTCCAGGCCACTTGCTCGCTAATTGATAGAGGCAAGATGTCAACACTGAGCCCAAACATGGCATCACATTATCCTAACTAATTTAACAACAGATCATTAGTGTATCTGCAACATAACACAAATTCTCTCACTCATCAAACCGTACAGACTCAGTGAGAATCCCTTTAACGTAATTGAGCTACCTTGAATCTAACAGGGCCTCTTCCAGGGCCTACACAGGCTATTCTTACCCCTCAGTCAGCTGTGACAGAGATAATATTGACAATGAACAGCCTTCTTTATACAAATATGCTGAAGCACAGGTCTGAAAAATATTATTTTTATATAAAATACCTGTTATTATCACCTCCTTGAGGCCTTACACCAGTCAGCGATAGGTAAAAATAAATGTGAAGACTGGCAAAACTTTTTTTTTTCCCCAAAGCACTAAACAGTAAACAATTTGCATACTGAAAATATTGATTGTTACTTAGGATGTTTGTCTATATTTTTCTATTACTGTATGTTTTTTTTTTAAATCAAGATACATTTACTTTAAGGAAAATTACTTAAGGTTTCTTTCTTTTTTTTTTTCTAAAATGTTGTTTGGAAAAAAGTCATATTAAGACTTGTTTTCTAAAAAAATTATCCAAGTTTATGCTTAAAACGAGAAAAAATATCAATGGGGTAAGAAAAATAATCTTGAATTAAGTTTATTTTTCTTATCCCACTGACAGATATTTTTTTCTCGTTTTAAGCATTACTTTTGATGCAAAGCATAAACTCATATTTTGAAAAAAATAAAAATAAAAATGTTTTTCAGAAAACGACTTAATATCTCAAGTCAATTTGCTTCTCAAGTAAATGTATCTTAATTTAATAGTGTTTAGACATTTATAGTAGAAAAGACAAAAATATCAATGGGGTAAGAAAAATAATCTTGAATTAAGTTTATTTTTCTTATCCCACTGACAGATATTTTTTTCTCGTTTTAAGCATTACTTTTGATGCAAAGCATAAACTCATATTTTGAAAAAAATAAAAATAAAAATGTTTTTCAGAAAACGACTTAATATCTCAAGTCAATTTGCTTCTCAAGTAAATGTATCTTAATTTAATAGTGTTTAGACATTTATAGTAGAAAACAAGACAAAAATCATTTGTACTAAAATCATTTTTTTGCAGTGCATATTTGTAACTAGAATATGACACAGACACAACTAATAATATTAACCCACTAGCCTACATTTTCATGATCAAGACTACTGCGGTGTTTGGTGGCTTTTTTCCAGTCTGAAAGAGTGTGTTTCGGCGGGTAGTCACCCCCTGCAGCATGTGACAGACAGCTTTGTGCAAAATGAGAGCTATATTTCCACATTCTGCATGGGGCCAAAGTTACCTGAGGACATCTGTACGTCTAAGAAGAAATATAGAAGGTTTTTTCTCCAATATTAGCACAGCAAAGTGCTGCCTATCTGTTGTTCTTAAGAGAAAGCATCATAAAAAAAAATGTTTTTTTTGTTTTGTTTTGTTTTGTTTTTATCTGAATGGAATGAAAGCAGAAATCAAGGAGCTTTGAGGGGGCTCTAAATGAACATTCCAGCACAACAAAATCACAGACTCCCGGTTAATGATCCTGGCCAGATCAAACTGGAAATAGCTGGGCTTATCTGCCACCTCTAACACTCTGAAAAATAGGGCTTTCCTCTCAGAGCCCTTCTTTGGAAGCTGAGACTTTCTCAGACACCTGCTGTTGCCCTATGCTATCACTGCAAACATTTCATGCTGTCTGCATGGAGATGGATCAATGTACACTACTTAAGGAGACAGAAAGTGAATTGGAAAATAAACATAGCGTATGAGTACAACAGAGCAAGAAGATGATGGCGAAAGTATCCTGTTACCCACAGAATAACAAGGTTTAGATTGTTGAGCTAATGACACTAAAAAAGCATATTATTCCACTTAATGACATTAAAGCTTCTGGCTGAACTGGATCTATAATTTCAATGAATTTCAGTGGAAAATGGCATCCTCCATCTTCAGTATGATGTTGTAGAGCCTGAAGCCAGACAGCTAGTTTTCAAATACAGTTGGAAAACAGTTAAGCAGCTTTCTGAAACCTGCCAAAACTACATTCAGTCAGTGAAACGAAGTCTGAGCTTTCTTTTGAAAACTTTTTGTTTCTCGAAGAACAATTAAGGAGGCAAATACTGACATCTAGTGGTAGATCAAATGAGAGCATTCAGAAAATTAGTTTACAAATGATGCAGTTACAAAACTGTTTTGCTTTGTAACTGATTATGAATTGTCTTCATTGATTTAACGTTAACTAGGATTTAAATAGCCAAGATTCGTGTCTATTGGCTATGACTTAATGCATCGCTCTATTACAGTTTACATGAGATGTATACATGAGAATGTACATATGGTATTTTATATTTAGTGCACACAACACATACAATCTCAATGGTTTATGTGACTTGCGTTTCTTTCAGAGAAAAAAACAACATTTTTAAAAAGGAAACGACTTCCGCCAAAACCACAACAAACATTCATGATCATATGAGTTCAGTCCTTTATTACTAATATCTAAAGACTAGAAAAACATACTCTCCCACTTACCATGTCTGATTTCTTTAAAGGAATGATAATATTTGTTGATTGCTGTTTAACAGACGGTTGATTGTCTTCCTTTCGCCTCGCTGTTAAGTCCCATCACCATAGCAACAACATCAAACGGGCTACCGCCAAATAAAATAATAAACCATACCGCCTGTGAACTCCTAACTATATTCCGTAGGTTTTTAACATTCAGTTGCTTTCGACTTTAAAGTCTGGTGAGTAAACAGACGTTTGGGGAGCCAATACTTTGCTTATCCGAGTCTTACTGTAACCCGGAAGTAGTAGTTTCTGACCTTTACCGCCAAATGCCACTCACACATGGGTTTGTTGTTATGTGTGGACTTTGACACTGGCTTCGCTTCAGTGTTATGCATTGCTGCTTACCAGAACTGTTAAGCAATTGGCTACAATTTAGCGTGCTTCTAAATTTAGGTTTAGCTTAAAAAGTTGCAAATCTGCGACAATGTGAGACAAAGGTCTTTTGGCTATATTTCAAACGTGATTTAATGTTTAGTTGAGGTTTGCACTTCAAAGGTATTTCCACGAACCACATCGGTCAAAATGGATACCAGTCCGTTCATTCTAGATGGAGGTCTGGCAACAGAACTTGAAGCAAGTGGATTTCAGTTACAGGTAGGTACTATTACACAAACTTATTGTTAACAATCACAAGTTTAATCACGCATATATTGTATTTGCAGGGAGATCCACTATGGAGTGCAAGAATTTTGCATACAAACCCAGAGGCCATTAAGGACGTACATTTCAGGTAATTACAGGCTTCATTATTATGTTCTGTACGTGAGTTGTCAAACAATGCCTGAAGTGTAAGTGTAAGTGAAGTGTTTACTTGATGTAAAATATTTGTGAATATTTCTTTTAATAATTGCTGTATTATATATAACAATTGTCTGAGAACGCTACAATATATATATATATATATATATATATATATAAAATGGAAAAGTCATTGTAAATTTTAACAATATTTCACAATATTACTGTTTTTACTGTAATACCTTCTTACATGTATGTAAATTTTATAATTTTGAACCTAAATTCTCCATCCTGTCAGTCATTCAGTATTTCTGTATGCCTCTTCTATGACTTCTAAGAACTATTTAATATTTAATGAATGATTGATTAGACTTGTTTTAATAGATATCTTCAAAGCGGTTCTGATGTCATAACAACTGCCACATATCAAGCCAGCATTGAGGGATTTGTGAAATATCTTGGTCTCCGGCCTGAGGAGGCGCAGCAGACGATAATGTCAGGGGTTCAACTGGCAAAAGAGACAGTCCGTGAGTTCATGTCTCACTCACCCATATCAGGTGTGTGCAAGCCTACTAAATCATGAATTCTGTCTAGTTTCTGGAGAAAATGTAGAGACACCAGCTACAATTTAATCTAAAATGAAAAATTCCCCCAGAAGACAGAAGAGAGCCTGTGGTTGCGGGTTCAGTGGGACCATATGGGGCATTTTTACATGATGGGTCTGAGTATACAGGGGCCTATGAGGACAAGATGACAATGGAGGTAATGCAGGCTGAAACTCTTGGTCCACCAAATCTGCCATCACATTAGAATTTCAAGTGCATGTTTTCTCTTTTGTCTTAGGAGCTGAAAGACTGGCATCGTCCACAGATCCAGTGCTTAGTAAAAGCCGGCGCTGATATTGTTGCCATGGAAACCATTCCAGGTCTCAAAGAGGCGGAGGCTTTGGTGGAAGTACTCAGAGAATTTCCAGAAGCTAAAGCCTGGCTTTCATTTTCTTGTAAGGTGACTGATATTAATGGATATACACTGCATTACATGTCATGATATCCAGCAACAAATTTCATTCATAAAACACTTGCAACTGCTTATGCTCTGATTAAAACAAATGAGTTAGACATTGTTATTAATGCAATTAATGTGTTTCAGGACATTCATAATATTTCAAGCGGGAGGAGATTTTCTGAGGCGGTTCAGGTGGCTTGTAGGTCCTCACAGCTGGTTGCAGTGGGGGTGAACTGCTGTCCCGCTCCGATAGTGAAACCGCTTCTAGAGTCAGCCAAGTCACACAAGAAAGCAGATTTGGGCTGGGTGGTCTACCCTAATAGTGGAGAAGGATGGGACCCCAAGACAGGGTAAGGTTAATCAGTAAGTTAGAATAGAAAGTTATTATTGCCATTGGTTTTGTTTCCATTGAAAAATTAAATTTTCCTGACCTGGATGGAAAAAAAAACATGGACATTTATATTTTATTATTTCATCACAGAAATCCCCTATCTTAGATGATTGCTCTTTGCTCCATCTCTCTTTTTATGACAAAAGTTTGGGATCAGTTAGATTTTTTTTAAATACATTTATTTATCAAAATAAATACAATTTCAAATCAAGGCTGTTCTTTTGAACTTCCTATTCATCAAAGAATCCTAAAAAAGTATCATGGATTCCACAAAAATATTAATCAGCACAAGCATTCATCTTTTTAGTATTTTATGAATATATTTATATTTTTATGTCTTGAAATGTGCTATATTAAAAAAATTAATTTACTTACTGTTTTCAACATTGATAAGAAATATTTCTTGAGCATCAAATCAGCATATTAGAATGATTTCTGAAGGATCATGTGACAATGAACACTGGAGTAATGGCTGCTAAAAAATTCAGCTTTACCATATGAATAAATAACATTTATGATCTATTAAAACAGATAACAGTTGTTTAAAATTGTAATGATATTTTACAATATTAGTGTTGTTTTTATATAAATGCAGCCTTGGCGTGCATAAGAGACTTAAAATAAATGATAGTGTAAATAAAAAAATAAAACAATCCAATAACCACAAATGGCTGCAAAATCATGGAAACTGATTGGTAAAACGTGGGAACCCAGAACTTATTTACTTTGATCATAATTGACAATTTGTCTCAATAGTTTCATTATGTAAGTGGCTATTTCAGATGGAAAACCGAGAAACGGACGTCATTTGCCAAACTAAGTCTCGACTGGAAAGAACAAGGGGCTTTGTGGATTGGTTGGTATTTTTTTGTACCAGTAAATAAGCTTTACTGTAAACCTATACTATGACTTGTTCTTTCCTGTTGCGCCGACTCACACACAGCTGATTTCTGTCAACAGGTGGCTGCTGCCGTGTTGGTCCTGCTGATATAACTGAGCTGAAACAACAACTACATGCCTAGCCGTGACTCATGAATCAACATGACATCATTTAGTTTATTCTGAAATAATGCAGTGATGTGTAAGAAGGTGTATAAATATTTTATTTATAAATAAAAAGAATACAATAATAATACACTAGAGTCACATGAGTATGAGATTTGTGATGACTTTAACATTATACACAAGATGTTGCTGTGTTAAAGGAAAAACAAATCACAATTCACATGTCATGGAAGCAATCATGCAATCTTAGCTCACAGCGTTTCACAAAGAACGGGAGTGTAATCCTTCAAGTTGCTATTTACAACAAGATGGCACCATCTTATTGGACTATGTCACTTAATGATAACCAGAATCTGATCCATTAAATGGTCACATCATTAAACAGTCTGATATCTTTATGATGACCTTCACTTTGTTTGTATTTTTTTATACTTACACTAATAAAGCCATTTTTGTTTATGCAATAGTAGAACTAGTCTTCATGAAAAACGTTTTTGTTGTCATAAAAAGTCTTTTATGTTGTGTTGAGTTTTCTGCAAGCACATTATGCAAATGAATAATTTTTCAGTCCATACTTCACTCCAATGATCTACCATCAATAGCATATAAATCCACCAAATAGCATATAACTCAAATGGAATGATGCTATTGATCTGAAAATCAAATATTCGCTTCATGTTCTTGGTACACTTAAGGTGCAGTCACAAATTGTCCACTGTGTATAGTGTAGCAATATATGAAGCACTATCACTTTCAAACCAAGCAGCTTTCTGTTGGTCAACATGGTGTGACCAACTGTAAAAACCGGGGAAATCTTTCACAATTACATGAAATTCCAGATTGTGTGGATTCCTACTGAAATTGCTGGATTTCACCTGCATAACAATGGTACATGTGACCACACCTTTAGTGCAGTTAACTGCACATTTATTTAATGATTCATTTATCCACAATAAGTTTAAAGAAAGCAGCATTTTGACCTACAGGAAGTGACTCAACGTCTTGGCGAGAGAGCCATTGTGAAGTATTTTTAAACTTAATTTAACGGCACATTTCTGAGGGCTGTGGAATTTGTTTTACATAGCTGTAAAATAGTGACATTACAGGGATGTCCTCCACAAAAGCTTATGGCTTCTTCCTTATGGTTACCAGAGCATTAACCACACCATTTGGCTTGCAACTTCATCTATGATATGTAATTCTAACTTTTGTACTGTTGCTAACAACCTGGGAAGGTAAATATCCTTGTTTAAAATGGTTGAAAACCCAATGGGCTCTTTAGGAGGAGGGTTGGACACTTTAGATTTAGTCAGTTGTGTCTTCATCTAGGTCACTGTCTGGAGAACTTCTGTGCCTGTACTCTGCTGTGTTGGACAAACGCTTCCAGGCATTGTCAGACTTGTTCCCCGTACTGAGGGACCTACCCAGGCGTTTCATCGCTCGCTCCTCAGAACCGTCCTCTGTCGCAGCTTGACCTCTGTGTTCTGGCGCCTGATGGTGGAGATCATGCCTCAGATTTTCCAGATTCAGTGCCCACGGTCCCAACTTTTGCCAGTTGACTCTCTGGAAGGCCATGATGCAATGCAGATTGCCTCCAACCTATGAAGATATCAGGAATTATGCAGGGCTTCAATACTTCACAGCACACATTCAGACACTTTCCTAGACACATAATTCTTTATAATATTCAGATTATTGTAGAAGCACCATCACCATAGTCCTGAAGTTTCTTACCTTTTTGGTTTTGCGATACTGAATGCCTCTCTCTATGTGGCGAATGTCTAAGTATTCTGGATTCTGAGTGTTCAGATCTGTCACAATATCTGCCCATCTGATAGTAAAAAAAGGTCAGAATTTGAGCGTCATGATATATATTTATAACTTCACCAAGGAATACTATTCCATAAAAATTAACCATACTTTTTACAGTGGATTGCAGGGTGTTTCCTGCTTGGTTCACCAATAAGTATCCAGTGCTCCATCTCATTAAGTGCCAGTGGCCCCCTATAAAAAGAAAGAAAGAAAGAAATGAGCTTCATTCTTGATTAGAGGAACAGGGTCTTATAAAAGTGGTAGAAGTTAATAGTTTTCCTCTACATTTGCATGACTTTTCATAATGTAATAATACTGGTGCTGTGCGAGAGATTTTTGGGCTGTTTGTCACTTGCCCTTTTGGGTTCTAATGCTCACCAAGGCTCCATTTATCTGATCAAAACATGCAGTACAAAAAGTAATATTGTGAAATATTACAAAATTGTAAATAACTTTTTATTTTAAATATAATTTAAAATGTAGCTTCCTGTGATGCAAAGTCATGTTTGATCAATTTAATGCATCCTTAATAAATAACTTCTTAAAAAAAAAAAAAAACAGAGCCCAAACTTTTGAACGGTAGTGTACATGTGTGTGTTTGCACTGAAAAATATTTGCCATTCTGTGATGTTAAAACATACACATCATAAAAACTTTACATTTAATGGACAAAAAGGAAAAAAGAAAACAATATAAACATTTTCTGGCACACATAAAAGTTCACTGCTAAAAATAAAATGTATGTTTTGGAAGTGCAAATTAACTGATTTTATTTTTTTTCTTTCAACAATAACAACCTAACTTGAACTAATGAAGCAGTAAATGAAAGCCAAAGTTGCTGTACATCATACCTGTATGCTTTGGCTGCCTTTAGTGGTGTGGCTTCATAGCCCACAGGACAGAAGTAGTGATTCTGACAGTGGTAAATGTAGGCCATGGATTCGTCTTTAAGTCCCTGCGTCAGCTTCAGCAGCGCCCCCTCAGCTAGAATGAAGGAACATGCTCTACAACATGCTGCTAAAGTACTTTCTGACAATATCTATATTGACATTTGCATTTGTTTGAAATAGAAATCTTTTGTAACATTATAAATATATTTACTGTCATGTTTGATCAATTTAATGCATCCTTAATAAATAACTTCTTTAAAAAAAAAAAAAACAGAGCCCAAACTTTTGAACGGTAGTGTACATGTGTGTGTTTGCACTGAAAAATATTTGCCATTCTGTGATGTTAAAACATACACATCATAAAAACTTTACATTTAATGGACAAAAAGGAAAAAAGAAAACAATATAAACATTTTCTGGCACACATAAAAGTTCACTGCTAAAAATAAAATGTATGTTTTGGAAGTGCAAATTAACTGATTTTATTTTTTTTCTTTCAACAATAACAACCTAACTTGAACTAATGAAGCAGTAAATGAAAGCCAAAGTTGCTGTACATCATACCTGTATGCTTTGGCTGCCTTTAGTGGTGTGGCTTCATAGCCCACAGGACAGAAGTAGTGATTCTGACAGTGGTAAATGTAGGCCATGGATTCGTCTTTAAGTCCCTGCGTCAGCTTCAGCAGCGCCCCCTCAGCTAGAATGAAGGAACATGCTCTACAACATGCTGCTAAAGTACTTTCTGACAATATCTATATCAATATCAATAACTATATCTGAAAGAAAGCTATAATACTGTCTGCTCAACACATTACATCAAAAGTATATTTGTAGAATAATATGCAGTTGGAGACTCGAATTCAAAATTCACACACCTGTCTCTCCTGCTGTCTTGTGCTTCCCATGAGGTTTGTACAGAATGTAAGAGCAACCCCGGACACGAAAATGATCGTTGATTTGTCTGAACCATCTGCAACAAAATAAAAATAGATCATGTACAATACAAATCAAACCTTTGGGGTCAGTAAGATTTTTTTAAAACAAAATAATACTTTTATTCAACAAGCATGCACTAAATTAATCAAATGTGTCAAAATACTACTTAAATGCTGTTCTTTTGAACTTTCTATTCATTAAATCATTCTGAAAAAATATATCACTCTTTCCACAAAAATATTAAGCAACTCAAGTCTTCTTATTATTGATAATATTAAGAAATGTTTTTAGGAACCACATCAGCATATTAGAATGATTTCTGAAGACTGGAGTTGCTGCTGAAAATTCAGCTTTGCCATCACAGGAATAAAAACTTTTTTTTAATAGAATACAGTTGTACTTATATTTCAAAACATTATTGTTTTGCTTTATTTTGATCAAATAAATTCAAATTAGGTGAGCATTGGTGACATCTTTCAAGACCCCAACCTTTTTAACGGTAATGTATGTATTAATGAATTTTAACACATTTTGAGAAACTGTTAAAGCAGCACTATGTAACTTTTTCTGTGTTCAAAATTTGCAAAATGTAAATAATGAGCGAGTACATCATGAATTCATCTTCCAAACCGCGTTTTTGTCTTATTCCGAATCACTACAGTACACTTATAATAAGTACTTATATTTGGACTATTGTAGCCTGGTCGGGTCGTCACCGCTGCGGAGTAACACATACCTGCGTGAATCGCCAGAGACATAAACTTAGAGAAGTAGCTCAGGTTGGAATGTTCTTCCGCGGGATGTGTGCAGTTCTGTTTATTAAAGGCAGGGTATGTGATTTTTCAAAAACACTTTAGAAAACTGATTCGGGCCGAATAGCAAAACAAACTTGTAGCCAATCAGCAATAAGGGGCGTGTCTACTCGTGATGTGGAGGAGAGCGCGTTCAGTGCATGGGACGGACATTAGCCGAGCCGAGCGACAGAAAGATAGAGATGGCGGATAAAAAACAAAAGAGGAAAACGTCTGCGGAACGATAAGGCAAGAAGTAGGACCCGTGTAAATATCGGATCAGCTTTCCAGCGCTGGAGAGAACTCAAGGAGCGGAGGCCTGCGATCGGACGCCGAGGTTGCTTTGTTTCTTCTCAATAGGTGAGTAACACCGTGTCTACAACAACTAAAGTCTGCCTACACTGGACGCGAGAAAGAGGTCAAACGACCGTTGAAAACCATTTGAAATGTATGTCAGCACGTCATAAATAGAACCCGGCAGCAGTTTTCTGTCGGGGATTTGTTGCACCGCGCCGCTCACGTCCGTAGACACAGTGTAACATTGGTTTTGCTTTGTTTCACAGAACTAATCGTTGCCTGGGTTGCGTACGTATATGTGGGGCGGAGCTATCAAAATAGGGGCAAGACCCTTTTGGGGTAGGGCCGTGTTTGTTTTGGTGATTTCAAATATAAACATTGGCTACCAGAAATCCCTCACTCTGCCTTTAAATAGATCAAGAGTGACAGTAAAGTCTTAAAATAGAGCTAAAATTCTATTTCAAATAAATGCTGTTCTTTTGAAGTTTCAGAGAGTTTCTTTAATCAGAGAATCCTGAAAAAAAAGTTTCAAAGTTTCTATAAAAGTATTAAGCAGCAGAACTGTTTTCATAGATAATAATAATGTGTTTCTTGAGCATCAAATTAGAATGATTTCTGAAGGATCATGTGACACTGAAGACTGGAGTAATGATGCTGAAAAT